CGTTCTCCTTCCATGCTCATCGGTGCCCCTCACCCCAGGCTGTCCCCTTCCCATGCTTCTCTGGGCCAGTCCCTCTCCAGCTCAAAGTCCTCTTCAAAGCTGCCTTGGACACGTCCGCCTCCTTCTCTCCATATGCTGTCCACTCCACTCTGGAAAGCCCTGGGCGACCCCCACCATCTGCTTCTGTTCCACACGTTTTCTCAACCTGTCAAGTGGTTGGAGGAAGACCTGGGCACCCTGCTAATATGCTCGAGGATAAATTTATTTCTCAGTAACACTTTTCCCCTCCTAGCCTTATCAACTCCTCTCTACACAACCTTCTTGGCTCCCTTCCACGTTCATCTCTCTCCTGAAAGCTCTTGTGTCTTTCCTACCCTCCAATCTCACACGTTGCCCTCAAAAGCGCAGGCTGACACTATCAGAGGGCGAGCAGATATTCCTGTGCCGGTAATTCTGTCCTTGGCTACCCTGAGTCTCCGTGTCTGTCCTTGGTCTGGGTACTATGGCCCAGGGATGCTGTTCCTCTGGCCTCAGTCCACCGTGAGCCCTATCTTTCTCCTCTCCCCTTACTCTAGATCTCAGAATTACTGGTTGGGAAAATGTTGCTCGACGTTGTGTTAATTCATTTTGGGTACTGGGAGCTACAGGCTTTTTAACATAGCATGCAAATATATGTAAATTTATACACTTATGCAAAAATGGTATGAAAATATGCCTTTAGATTTTCTGGAAAAAGTCTATCAGTCTATGAATTCCTCCCCTTGTCAACAACATTACTTTGTAATTCCTCATCCCTGTAGCCCACTGCTCCCTTCCTATCTGCCCACACTCAGCTCTCCGCCTCCCTTGGTATGTGCTAACTCATTATTAATATTAAACACATGATTTCTCTTCTCCCTTCTCTCTATATGTGAACTTAAACCCATAGAGGAAGGCTATAAATATTAGAAAATTATCAATTTTCATTGGGGTTTACTTTACATTTCTCTTGTCAAATCTGACCTTCTATTAACTTTAATGAACACCATTTGCCTCCAAGTCATTATTGCTTTTTAACAATATTAATGTGTTTGCATTTCTGCTTAAACTGTACCTCTCCTCCAAGCTGGGTCAGGTAATCTGGCACATGCTGCCACTAACAACCCAGAGAAGTTAACAAACAATCATTCTTCACGGAACAATCACAAGCTTCTGACTGTTGACAGTTCTCTGCAGTCACCAGCAGCCACCTGGTCTCTACCTGTAACAGACAATGTGGCTTCCTTCCTTCAAACACTAATTCGAAGAGATATATGCACCCCTATGTTCATTGCAGCATTATTTACAAAAGCTAAGATATGGAAATAACCCAAGCATCCATTGACAGATGAATGGATAAAGATGTGGTGTATATATACAACAGAATATTACTCAGCCATAAAAAAGAAATGAAATCTTGCCATTTGTGACAACATGGATGGACCTACAGGGTGTTATGCTAAGTGAAATAAGTCAGAGAAAGACAAATACCATATGATTTCACTTATATGTGAAATCAAAAAAATGAAACAAATAAAACAAAACAGAAACAAACTCACAGATATAAAGAACAAACTGGTGGTTGCCGAAGGGGAGGGGGGTGAAGGGATGGGCAAAATAGGTGAAGGGGATTAAGAGGGACAAAATTCCAGTTACAAAATCAATAAGTCACAAGGATATAATGTACAGCATAGGGACTATAGTCAATAAGACTGTAATAACCATATGGTGACAGATGGTTACCAGACTTATCATGGTGATCATTTCACAATGTATGTAAATGTCAGATGACTATGCTGTACACCTGAAACTAAGAGATTATTGTACGTGAACTACACTTCAATGAAAAAAACAAAAAACAAACAACTCCCCCCAAATGTCCCTACGGCTCCTCTCCTTTCTCTCTGAGCATTAGTGCTGACGCAGACACACTTTCCATCCTCTGGATTTTTCTATGACCACAATCTGCCTGCAACCGGTTCCTTCTCTTGGAACCTCTTGGAAGCCCCTGGCCCTTCCCTGGGACTCGACCTGGTAAAAAGATAGCTTCTGATCTCCTGCTGACCCTGTCCTCTTAATTTAGGGACTTATAAACCAGGCTGGTTTCCATGAAGGTAGAGGCAGGAGCTTTTGTGACCCAATGAGAGATTTCAGTTCTTGTGTTTAACTCGTGTCTGGTGTTAATATTATCCCTATTTATACAGCTGAAGACACTGAGGCACAAAGAAGGTGAGTAACTTGCCCAAGATCTCAAAGCTAGTGAGTGACAGAACTGGGATTCTAGTCCAGGCAAGTGTGGCCTGGAGACTCCTCCTTAGCCCGCGAGTATATGCAAAGGCCATTCCTTTCCCTTCCTCTGCCCACAGTCATAGCATCCCAGCTTCCCCACACAGCTTGGGGAGGGAGGCAGAGAAGGGAGGGCTGTGATGTTCCTGGGCTGGAGGGCCTGGGGTTCCAGGGCTTCCTACGCATGGTCACCAGGAAGTCCAGCGGCACCACTGGAGGGGAACCTCCCTCGGTTGCAGTGGGGGGCCCGCCAGCTGTGGCTGGGCTGTGGGGGCAGCCTGGGAGAACACAGGCCAGCGTGCATCATTTACAAGGTTGCCAAGAAGGAACCACCTAAGCCGCCCTTCGAGAGTCACACCCATCACATTCTCGGACTGTGAGACTCGAAACTCCTCAAAATCTGGAGGCTTGTTGGCCTCAACCTGCATCCACTCTGGACAGTTTTTGAATATATCAGGATGCGCTGAAAAAAGTCTTAAGAGTTTATTATTATTACTGTTTCCTACTGGTGAGATCTCCAAAGCAGCTAATGTCTCTGAGCCAGAGAAGGCTCCGTCGCTGCCCATGGACAAACAGGCCAGGTCGGTCCATCACCTGGGCCCTTGCTCACCAGCTCTCCTGTGCTGCGCCCACTGCCGCTCCTTTCAGAAAGGACAGCGCCTGGCATTTGTCAGCGAGTTCAGCGTCTTGACAAGCTCCAGAGGTGAAACAGAAACTTCCCCCGTGAGATTCTCCTATTTGATCTTTTGTCTCATGTGTTCCCCTCGGGGATGAACAAGAAATACTGCTCTGAATAATTCATAGGCCCTGAGGTAGAAACACACTGCCTTTTTAAATAAAAAGGCTGGGTACACGGCGCGGAAATACCTCTTCTGTGATGCTCTAGCAAAAGCACAGAGGTCTCGAAAGCTCTTTACAAATTCCTCTGACAAGAGTGAGACAAAATGAAAAGCCATGTCATATTTTTAATCAAACAGACTAATGTTTGGATAATACGTAAAATTATTTATAAAGCTGTATCAAGCCACAAAATGCTCAACAAAGGGAAAAAAAATTAAAAGTAGCTGTAATTATTATAAGGTTATTTTTAAAACTGAAAATGATTGTCTTCAGTTTTCTATTTAATGGGCACCTACTAGGGGCCAGGAACCCTGCCAGGCTTGTTATGTGAATCACTTCATTTAGTTCTCATGAATGAACTGGGTAAGCGACAGCCCAATTACAGAAGCACCAAGGTTCCTGGAGGGTAAGCGACAGCCTGCAGTTTCCCAGGAGCAAGGACGGGGGTGGAGTTTGAGCCCAGATCTGACCCGGAAGCACAGGCTCTTCCACGGTGCTAATGCTCGGGGGCTCGGCATGCCTCTTTTGGAAACCAGCAGTCACCGCTCAGCCCCTTCTGCATTTGGCAGTGTCACTAGGAGAAACGGCCAGAGAACGAAGGCTTTGGAATCCTTCGGAGAATATTTTACTTATTAGTTACAAAACCATATCCTCTCAGCACTGGACGGAAACTCACAATCTATCTAGTTGAACATTTTCATTTTACGGAAAGGAAATTGAGTACAGAGGGCTGACGGGCTTCCCCAAAGTCAAAGAGCGAGCGAGCGACACTGCTGGGGCCAGAATTGTCCTCACACTCTTTGTCCAGTGCTCCGTCTCCCATACCACACAGCACTGATTACGGATGCTGGGCTCCCAAGGGCTGCTGACATCAAGGGCACCTCAGCTTCATGACAAGGCTTTTCTTTCCTGTGGTTCGTTAAATCAGAGACGTCCTACCACAAGAACGAAACAAAAATTCAGAACTAAGCCTGACGTGTAGGCCCAGAGAAAACAGTGTGGCTTTTCACCGGCTCCTCGGGCCTTGCTGACTTCTGAGTTTCAATTCAGACTCTTACAGGAAGGTAACAGCAGACCGGCGACTTTGTGGGGCAGCTGTGCTCAGTGTATCTTCCTAACAGAGGGAACCCTCCAGAGTGGCCAGTCCGTCCCCCGACCTAATGGAAACCGAGGTAGTTGGGCGGCCCGCTCCAGGCAGGGGAGGGAGGGGAGACAGCAGGCAGCCCCCGGCTTCTGACCTGGGCATCACAAGAGGGACGTGTGCATTTTTGGGGAGCCCCACAGCCGTGTGCAGTGTGGAAACTGGGGTGACTTACCTGAGTCCTCTTGGTTCCTCGCCTCCTCTGATAGGACGCCCCTACTAGCCAGTGGCCTTGGTGACAAGCTAGAGTCTCCAGTTCCCTCAACGTGAGAAGCCCCCCAGGTTTTTAAAGTGCTCTGGCTTTTGTACTGACGTCTCCCTGGGGTGTGGGCACCTCCAAGGTGGCTGCTACAAGCAGCACAGAAAAAGATGACAATGTCAGTGCCAGGGCCACAAGAATGTCTTTATTAAGCCCAGAGCCACAGGATGGCTTGGACTACTGGCCAGGAGGCCATTGACTCAAACTCTCCCCTCAGAGTGAACAGCACCACCGGGTACGGCTGTTCAGGCTGTGCACTGCCAAGTCCCAGAGGCTCCATTTGCACAAACTACAACAGGAACGGTGCCTGCTGGCTTTGTGCAATGTGACAGCCTGGCAAGCTGACTGCATCTGGCCTTTGGAGCCAGAAGAGGGTTTGAGGGTCATGAGCCACCTCCTGCTTCCAAGGGGAGCTCCAGTCTAAGAGTGGGGGTCTCAGCCAGCTCTCGGACTCACCAGTCGCTGCATGCTCTTCACGTGGGTGGGGCTGATGGATAAGGCTTCTTCATACCACCGCCGGGCTTCATCGACGTTTCCTCGGAGCTCGGCAACCTGGCCACGCATGTACAAGACGTTGTGGGACATTGGGAAGAGGTTGGCAGCTTCCTGGGTGCAGGCTGTGGCTTCTGCAGGCTTCCCAATGCCAATGTAGACTTCAGCTGTGGGGAGGAGAGCAGAGGCAGATGCTTTCCTGGTTCCCTGCCCTTCAGAGGCCTCGAACGGCTGTGACTCTGGTTGGGACAATTACCTTCCCCCCGTGAAAGTCTGGCGGGGACCCACCTGGAATACGCAGGGCCCAGGGCCAGACAATCCCCCAGCACAAGTGGAAACAGCTGCCAACTGACAGTCCTTCCCGCTGTCACACAGGGAATCGAGCCACTGGTACTGTGGGGCCTTGGAGGGGACACATGTCACCACCAATGAGAGGGGAGTGAGGCCTACCTGGGCCCTGCCCCGCCAGAGGACATGCCCTCAGGGTCCCCTAGAGCACCCTGCTATCTGGGACACCTGCCCTCAGCTCTGACAACCACAGAGAAAGGGCTGGAAGGAGCCGAAGGACAAGCAAACCAGAGGTGCACAGCCCTCACAGGGCAACGGCTCTGCCCTCCAGCCCTTCTCCTGATGCCACCAAGTGTGACAAGGGCAGCAGGCTGTGGCTTATGTGTTTATGGGCATGAAATAAAATGGCCGCTCTATCGGATGCTGCCCTCCGACCAGGGAAAGTCACCGCACCCGGGAGACTATTAACCGTATGACATCGACAAAGCCCTTTGAAAGTACAAACTGTCACTTTCCAAAAGAGCAGAAAAGTGACCTTTACTCCAATCTCAGGCCCCAGCTCTCTCTCACGGAGAGTCCCAAACTGCTCTGCAGCCCTGGCCCCTGAAAGAGCCCATCATGCGTGTGCGAGTGCTGCCTGTCTGTCTCTGGGGCACGCTCAGTGTGCTCTTCTCCTGAGCGCTGTGGTCACCGCACCATCTGTCCAGAGCTGGGCCTGCACCTTCAAGCATGTCCCACTCCTCGGCCGCCTCTGTCAAGACTGCTGCCCAGGGTCCTAGGCAGGTGGCTGCTGCGCTCTGGGCCCACTGCCCCTTCTCTGACCTCTGGGGCAGCCCCGTCCCCATCTGTTCCTGCCTTGACCACTGGCCTCCTCCCCTGGTGGTCAAAGACGTTTGCGCCTACATCGCCAAGTGACGTATGTATTAATATATCGTGTATAACGTAACGCACACAAAGACAGAAATGGCAGAAGAACACGATACAAAAGGAAAGTTTTCCTGTTTTCCTCGCATTCCTCACCAGTTGTCTCCTGGAGACAGGGCCTCCTCCGGCCCCTTACTTCCTGCCGTCTGTCCCACCTGAGGCACAGCTCTGGCCGGTCATCCTGCCCACCGGAAACCGCTCCTTCCTCAGGGCCTTCCATTCTGTTCACCCTCCCCCCTCAGTCTTCTCTCTACAGCCTCCCAGGGAGCCTCCCTGAGCCCCTACTCCACACTGCAGCCCCTCCCACTCGGCGGACCCAGCTCCGTTCCCTGCTGGCTTCTCCTCCCTAAAACCCACTGACTCATCTACTGTCTGTGTCCGCTCTAGAATGCAAGCCACAAGCAGAGGGCAGGGATTGTGTTTGTGCATCCACTTCTGCGTCCCCCAGTGACGAGAATAGTGCCTGGCACACAGTGAGAGCTCAGGAAATAGGTGCTGAATGAATGAATGAATGACAACGGTAACAACAGCAGCAGCTAACATTCATTAAACGTGTGCTTTGTGCCAGGAAGTGCTCTCATTTCTCCTCTTATCTGCACGGTGATTTGATCCCCATTGTACAGCTGAGGAAACTGAGGCACAGAGAGGGTGGAACAATTTGTCCAAGGTCCCAGCGCAAGTCAGTGGCAAAGCCTGGCCTGGATTCTGTGCTTGCAGCCTCTAGAGGGAACAGCGTCTCCCCTGCCCCCAAATCACCCAGATACCCCTGCCTGGCATTCAGAGCCCTTGGGGACCGGCTCCACTGTCCTTACTAACCTGAGCTCCTACTGCTTCCTGTGCCCCTGGGCTGTGCCCCGGTAAGCCACTGTGGTTTCCACACATGCTTTTGTTTATTCTCTTTTATTTTCTCACCCTCAGCCCCCTTCAAGGCCTAGCTCAATCGCTGCCATGCCTGGAAGCCATCTCTGACCCTTCAGCAGAAAGGGGAGCCAGCCTCTGTGCCTCACTGATGGCTGCGTCCTACATGTGTTTTTGTGAGGGGCCCTGGGTCTGCTCTTGGACAGCAAGCTCTGCCGTGGATCCACCTTTCTATCTCCCCACCTGCAGCTTCATACGCAGAGACTGGAAAAGGCGGACGCGAATCACACAGTTGCGGTCAGTGTTAGCACTGCTGACTTTTTGACCCCATCAGCCTGGATGGCCCCTGTCCTCAGCACCCTCACTTCCCTGGGGATCACACGCACACGAACGACCGACTCCTCAGGCCAAGAGAAAGCAGGCCTTGCCCATCACAGACACCCTGCCCCTCCTGTCTGTCAGAACTCTCCTAACAGGGAGCACAGAGATGCTGGGCTGGCCCAAGGGGCTCCGAGGAGAGGCCCAGCACCTCTCAGACACGGAACCTTGGGCACTTCAGCACAACCACTGAGCCCTAAGGGGGCAATGCTGCACCGCGCCTGTCCCATGTCCTCCAGAGACTCAGCTCACAAGGTACTTCCTGAGCTTCTACTACACCCGGGGACCCTACAAGGACACAGATGACATGGACCTGACCTTTGGTTTGGGCCCAGGTAAAAGCCGGCCCCTCCTGGGAAATGAACAAGCTCCTAGGGACACCATGGGGCTGTCTGATGTCTTTCAGTAACGCAATTCTCTCCAAGCTCTCGCCAGCAAGAGTCGGATGTGTGCCCACTGCGGTTTTAGGTTGCCTGAGCATGGCGGTAGCTCGGGAGAGCTGTACAGAACGTTCCTCTCACTGTACACTTGGCTCCTGACTTGCTTCCATTTTGAGGGTGAGTTTATGCACATTTCCAAGATCCCCAGGGCCCAGAGCTGTCTGTGGTGGGTGAGACGCACTGGGCCTCTCCCATCTAGATCGCTATGGAAAAAGGCCAACTTGGGAGAGGGGACTGAATGCTTCCAGAATTTCTATAACAAGACTCAAAGAGGGGCACAATGCACGTGTAAGCCCTGTTCTAGGGGGGTCCCCCGTGAGACCAAATGTGAGACCCAGCGTCTTACTGACCACTGTGTCTTCATTAGCCACAGGTCTGATGCAACTTTTCCCTTCACATGATGAGAAAATGGAAGACAGACTGAGCTGAGTCATGATCACGAAGGTGGGAGAAAGAATCCAGCTGCCAGGGACCTCTTTTCAGTGCCATAGAAGGTGTAGGAGGGAACCTATGTCACTATAAGGCCTGTGCTCCTGAGGCAGATGGGCAGACAAACGCACAGCCTAGGCTGCTCCTGAATCTGTCCTCTTTAAGTTCAGATGGAAAGACACAGGGCACAATGTACTGTGGTGCTTTTCAAACCATTTTCCCCAGTGGAACGTCTTTTTCCCACAGAGATCTTAAGAGTGGGCAGCTTGCTTCTCTCTTGCTTTGGTCTCCTCTCTGGCCTCTGGGGTACTGCTGCGGACCCCAGGGCTCTAGGGTACCCAGTTTGTGAACCGCAGTGTCATGAGAACATGGAGGTCCTTGTGTGTGGCCTTGGGCAAGGTGGTCGACTTCTCTGGGCCTGTTCCCTTGTCAGATAGGGGACACATCTGAAGCTGGCCCACATCTCTCCTAGGCAGTGCAAGGATCAACCAAGAGCGTGGAAACCTGGAGCCCAGAGGGAGCTGAAAATGAGGAGGACCATGCTTAGTCGAGCCTCATCCCCTTCGAGACTGCAGTGTGAGGAAATTACGGCACAAAGAGGTAAAGGGCTCGTCGGAGCACCGCAGCTCTATCTGGCTGACTCAGTATATTTGGGGGTGCAGGTGTAGACCTTCCGTTTCACCCTGGCTCCCTGGAGACAGTGGCTTAGAACAGCCATTCCCCCTCTTTGAGGACACTGCATCTTAATGTGGCCCAAAGTCTTAGGCTCCAAGAATGAAACCTCAGTGGTGGGATTTCCAGCATCAATCAAGTCCTTGGGATGGGGTGGGAGAAGGAAGAGGAAAGGATTGCCGAGGCTTCCCAGCATCCCTGAAATCCCCAGAGCGGGCCTCCTCGCCTGGCACCCAGCTGGTCCCCTAGAATCCAACAAGGCCACGTGGTATTTACTGTAAGCCTGCACTGCTGGGAAGGCTTCCTTCCTGGGAGTCCACAGCTCAAACGGACCGCTGTCTCCCCAGAAAAGGGTTTCACAAACGTCCACCCCGATCCACAGGGCCGCAGCCCCTCCCCTAGCACCTTCTAGAATCTCTGCCAGCCCCTTGATATATTGTTTTGCTAGGGTACCCTCCAATCTTTGCTTCTTGTTTCTGTCGGGGGCCCATGAGCTACAGCCACACACCTGGCCCCTCCTCCAGGTCCCATCTGATTGACGCGTTTGGGAGAAGGACTGGGCTTGCTCGCCCTGGCCCCTCGGGGCTCTCTCTGTCCAGTGCCTTGTGCCTTGGATGCTCACACAGGCACGTCATTGGGCTCTGCCCCTGCAAAGGGGAGGCCAGCACTCGGGATGGGTGAACTCAGCTCAGCTGTGATGCACTGGGGAGCCCGATGGAGACCTGAAGTCAAGCCGTGTTGTCTAATCTGGCCTCCCCAGGAACAAAGCTGGGGGTGTGATCTCCGTGTGCCTCCCCTATTCCTTAGTTGGTTCAGAGCTCAGGAGGTCAAGAGAGGAGTATTGTTCACACTTCCCTAAAGCCTCCCAACCGTGATAAGCATCGTCTTTTCCCACTAAACCGTGAGCAACTCCCAGCCTCAGTCATCTCGGCATCCCTTAGCACAGGCTCTAGCACTTAGTAGGTGCTCAAGGAAAGGTCGTAGGTTAATGAATGCTGAATGAGGGTCAGAAGAGGGCACGGGTCAGGGAAGAAAGTCAAAGGCCAGAGAAGCAACAGCGCACGAAGTTTCCCCAACCCTTTCACCAGAGGCTAAATTCAAGTTAAAAAAATAAATTAACAAAGGGCCTCGTGAGCTTATTAAGGGAGATAAGAGCTTGTACGGAGGAACAGCAACAC